TACAGTCAGATATGTCATTAAAATGCAGTAGACATCTTCACTTTGGCAGATACCCAGGAAGATGTTGTGAGAAATTGTAAAGATGTATAAAATTGATCATTTAGTGTGGTTTAATAAAAGTAAGTACATAGGCACTAAAATGTAGGATTAAAAAAAAAAAAAAGTATCATAATCTTTCTTACTAGAACCTGAAAGTCTCTCAGTAATGTAACAGAAATGTCTGTAATATAATTTGTACTGCATTTGTGTATTACATTTCATATTTTTCCATCTATACTCTTGTCCTTGTCAGCACAAGCATTCTTGGCTCCTTTCCCTTTTCTCTTCTTTTCATCTAATAATTTACTGTAACAATTGAAAAAAAAAAAAAAAAAAACACACCAAAAAACAAACCCCACAACTCTAATGACATCAGAATGAATCCCAAAAGCAAAAGATAGCAATTGTAGCCACATCATCTGTTGGCCTCCCTTTCCTCACCACCACCACCACAGGCAAACTTCTGAAGGTTTAACTCCTTTTTTTTCTGCCCTCATTTGGATGAACCTTCATCAGTGGAATCACTGGCTCTTTTTGCTTGAGAAAGAGGTGGATTCAAATGAAGTGATAGGTTCAAGATGTGGCCTCTCTTCCCTAAAGCATCTCTGTTCCCATTCCCCTTTGCGTCTGCCCATGCAGCCACTTATATTTTAAGGGAGCCTTCCCACCCCCAGACCCATGTGGTCATGACACTGCCCAGGGATGACTAAAGCAGCACACAGGAGCTTCATGTGACCATGTTGTCACTTGGGATTCATTTTTTCCCCCTTAGTTCCTCTCAAACATTCCCAGCTTACAAGCCTCTTGCTCCCTCTAGAGCCCTTCAGTGCTTCTGGGGGACCACTTAAATAATCTCTCATCAAGCTAAATGTGAGCTCACTGCTCATTTTGCTTCCAGCCTCTGTCAGATGGGATGCAGACTTCGAGTTCCTGTATTGCAGTGTAGAGCACAGGCACAACACCTTCATATTCTTGGGTCATGGAGGCTGATCTTCACCTTTTGCTGGTCCAGGAACAGTATTGCTGAGCAGGCACTGGCAGACAATATTATGTTTTGTGTTTCCTCTTAAGTTCTTGCAGCTTTGCACGGTATCAGGGGATCTCGTGAGCAATCCTGTAACATCATGAGCTGAGGACAGCTGGTTTAATCCATCTGACTTTGTCTGTCAAATGAGCACTGACTCTTGAGAGCACTTTTGATAGTACAGGCTCTAGCAAACCCATCAACAGAGTCTCTAGGTATCATTTCAAAAGTTAGTATTGTATTTTGGCCAGAAATGCTACTGTTTCCATTATTTTTTAAGAAGGGTTCCAACCTTAATGCTCTTGAAAAAATGAAGATTACCAAGCAATTTTTCCTCCCATAGTTGTGAGGGAAGACTTGATGGAGGCAGTGAGTCTTGTGCTCTGCTCTTACGCATATGAGGGTGTGCTTGATGTCTGTGAGAAGGGTTTCCAAAGGCAGAGCCCTGTCGCACATCTGGAGAATTTAAGCCTTGTGCTCATGAGGTGCTATGTGCCTAATATTAGGAACTGCCAGGGATAGTTACAGAGAGAGCAACAGTCTCTGAAGTGACTCTGGCACCCCAGCAAGTCACAGCTTGACACTGACATCACCCATCAGCCCTTCCACTATCGGCAAAGACTCCCACGATGACACAGTAGCGATTGGCTTCAGTATACCGAGGCATGCATCATTGACCCGAGCTAATTTGTGTATGGTTTTCTGTAGATTTATGGGACTGTTTAACCCAGAGGGTCTCAGATTTTGATGTTAGATAATGGAGGGCTACGTGCCAGCTCGCTGTGACTGCTAGGACATCATCAAATTGTCATAATGACTATTGGAGGCATCCAAACCAGACCAATGTTTCAGAATGCCTTCTTGGGGTGTTTGGTCCCCCTTTACAGTCACTAGAGAGGTCAGTCCATCACTTAGGCTGTCTGACTCAATTTTGGTGGCGCCCACCCCTTTCTGAGTTGGTCAGAGACACGAAGTGCTCAGTGTAGGTCTTTTACCAGTAGTTAGGAGGTCCACTTAGACATCAGAAATCATGGCATCTAATACAGGCTCCAGTGCTAGGGAGTCTGAATACAGCCTCCACTGACTAATCTGGTATTGTTTCTACCAATTTAGTCTGCTGCATGTTGTATATGTATGTCTGTGTGTGTGTATGTGCACACACTTGTGTGTATTATGCAAGTGTATGTTGAAAATAAAAATCTGTATCATGGCTGTATCATAATACATAAAAGCAAGGAGGAGACATTTCTAGTCCTGCTGTCATCTCAAAGCAAGGATATCCATAAAACACAGATTTCAATAACAATACCTCCAATCTAAATCTACCTTTGTTAACCAGACACGTAAATGATGAATAATGTAAAAGCTATGAATAAAAGTGATAAAACCACTTAATAAAGCTAAATGTAAATGAAACAGAATAACCAGAGAAAAAACACAGCCAGAATTATTGGTAAGCAGCAATGAGTGACATGTAGGTTTATGGTTATATAGTCCTGTGGTTAACCAGTATGTGGTTAATGAATAGTCTTCTGTCAACAAGAAGTAAGCTAAGTATCTTCCTGCTTTTGCCAGCTTGTGTCACAACCTTATACAGGCTTTGAGATCCTGTCTGTTCTGTAAAAAATCTTGAAAGTAGCTTCATCTCCCTCTTCTTCTTTATTCTGGTCTTGTAGACTGGTAATGTGGCCACATTTTACTACATTTCACTATTGCTATAATTTTTCTGAGTTTCTTTTCTATCTGGAAAATCCCCAAGAGCCTTCTGAAGAAATAAATAGACTATGTATTCTAGTTGAACCACAGGAGCACCTTACCTAATGCATCAGCAGTTGTAAAAAAGAAATAAATTAAAGAAAAATGGGAAGCCGGATGGAAATACTGCAGATTAGTAAAGAGAATTAAGTACGTTTTCAAAGTCTCTTTCAGTCTTAGCCATCTGGGTGTTGTATATGATGATACAGGGAAACTATTTTTGGAAAGAAGGAAGATCTACAGGTATCTCTGATATTTCTTAAGTCTAATGCTATGGGTGATAAAGTTTTTTGGATGGAGGTTTATTGAACTTTCTTACTGTTGCCTCATAGAAAGATCTGTTGTGCTGGTGGAGAAAGAGTAACAAAGCTGTAAAGCTTTATCATGTAATTTGGTATTTAAAGAATGTCAAGACCACAACCATCCTTGGTCTGGGTAGATGTAGGACCCAAGAGTTGAGAGTCAGAGGCCCTGAGACAGGGATCTGAAATGACTTTTGCTTCTGTTGCAATTCTTTCAATCAGAGGGACAGCTTTCTAGCGAGGATGTGGAGATGGGAAGACACTGACCTGGGATTTGCGAGGCTTGTGTTTCGGCTTCTGTTTTGTCAGGGCTGTGATTCAGGATTAAGGTCAGATTTAGTTACAGCAGCCAAAGTGGTTAGCATCACTGGCCACAGGCTTCCTGTGAGACTGTGGCCAAAACACTTTTATCTCCCCAAAGTTCCTCATCCATAGAGTGGGGAGAATACCTCCCTCATTCACAAGGATGGGATGAATATGGTTTCCAGTAACAGTTATGTGTGTGTGCTTGCCCCAGTGTTGACGCAGACCATTAGCACCGAAGTAGGCACTGCATTAAGAGAAGTGTTGAATTGCAAGTGAGTGTGCAGAGGGAGGTGGGGAATATTGCTGCTAGAGGCAGGCATTTATACTTACATTTATATTTAAATTTATATTTATTTATATAGATAAGTGAAGCAAACAATAAAAATGGGAAGTCTTAGAAGGGAAGAAACTCAGCACTCGGGAGTGCTGGAGCCAAGTGGTAAAATGAAGCAGGCAGATCTGTATAGGGAAAGCTCGCACAGCATGTGCCCAAAGGAGGAGAACCTCAATTTTCTTACAACAGTTCCTGGTTATCTAACTTGGGGTCATGTCCTTTGATGTCTCTTACTGATAACGAAGATTCCTGTCAGTATCTGAGTCCTCCATGATGCTGAGATAACTATGCTAAACCTGCTGACAGGCAATGTTTTCATTGTTGTCCAGGCCAAAGACATAACGAATGCATAAATGAAGCCTTATCAAAAATGCAGAATGTTACTTTTGTTATTTAAAAAATGCCTGAAGTAAATACTGGCATCGGCCAAAAGCAAATCCAGGGGTAGCAGGATCTGAAGGCATTGCGGTCACAAGGGGATACGAAACCTTCCCCAGCAGCCATCAAAATTAGTACTTTTCCCAACTTAGAGCCGTGGCATGCACATAACAATTTTGAAAAGGCCTTCACAGTTTTCTTACTGAATAATAGAGAAACTAAGCATAATGCCCTGCTATGTCTTCATAAAATGTTTTAATTCTCTGTGGACAAGCTGTAGGGATTTTTTATTTTTTCCATTCCCTTGTTTCTTGGCATTGCAGTAGCAGATTATTTTTAAAGGGTTCTGGTTCACAATATGGAATTGATCTAATGCTAGCTTCAACCACAAAGCGTGGGATTTTACGATCTGCCTAGGGGATCTGAGCACCCAGTTCTCTTTAATTTTAACAAGTGCTGTTGATCAGATCCCCGTGGGAGTTTTGGAAGAGTCAGCCACAATTTCTAAGCCTCTCTGAACTAACACCCTTTAGAAAGTACAGATAACATACCAGCAGTCATGTAGATCAGATAAACTCTAACTGTTAGGGGTAACCTCCTTTTTTTTACAAAAAAGCCCTGTAGATCATTTAAATACAAATTAATTTTTTTCCCGAAAGGTTTGAGCTGTTGCCACAAAGGGAATGCATCCAGCACCAGGTAGTTGTGAGGTTATACACCCCACTCTCTGGGAACATATCTATCTTCAGATACAGACAGCTAAAGTGTTTTAGTGTCATTTGGTGTGTTCGAGTGCTATCTGAAATGTGGAGTACACCTTTTCTCAACACATATGCTCAGTAACATTTTTTTTCTGTTGCAGGGAAAAGCTTCACGCTGACTATCACGGTCTTCACAAATCCACCACAAGTAGCCACATACCACAGAGCCATCAAGATAACAGTGGACGGACCTCGCGAACCCAGAAGTAAGTGAGCTAACGACAGAATTTGCAGCTGATGGTTTAGTTCAGGGGTTCATCACCAGCCTCACGAAATGCAGCAATATCCAACGCATGAGGAGCAGTGGGAATGTTTTAAGCCAAAGATGTTCTGCAAATGGTTTTAATTATCCCTTCCCGAAGCCTCATTTTTCATGGGTGTCCAGCTGATCTAGAATATGACTTGCATTGCATTTCTAAAGTACCTACCCAGGGATGCCTTGGATCTTACCCAAAAGCTGACAGAAGGGATGCTGGTAAAAGGTGGGCAGCGTATACCTTACGCATCATTTCTTGCTAGTCTTGCCTTTCAGATGTTAAGAGGATTTTAAAGCATTGGAAACCAATATGTCATTGATCTAACTTTTCAAGCTCAGCCACCCTGCAAAAATAAATAAGTGCCTGAGAGAGGAGAGGACACCTGGTTGCTGCCTTGTGGAGTTCACTGTACCTCATGCTGTCGTATAGTTTAGGAGCACCCATTTTCATGGCCAGCCAATCATCTTTCTTGGTTTTTGTTTTTTTTTTTTTTTCCTTTCTTTTTTGAAGAATTAAGTGCAAGGAGGAGATGAATGGTTTGATATCTCCAGGGGAATACCCGCACTTTTCACACAGGCGGTGGTTGTTTTGTTCGGGTGGCGAGGGCAGGCTGTTTTGTCTGCGGGGTGAAGTGAAGTGAGGGTGGAGCAGACCTGCAGGTACTGGTGCTTCTGCAGCACATGCGCTGCCTGTTACCAGAGGCAATCGTTAACCTCAGTCACTAGCCCAAACGGGGCATTTTCATATTTTTATCAAAATGCCCTGATGTAAACTGAGGTTTGTGGTTAGTTTCTTGCGCTCCTCCTGCACGCTTGGCAGAATTTCTGGCTGTTGCTTAAGTGGAATCATCCCGGGAGCAGAGAGCGGCAGGGCTCAAACACCCACTAGAGAATGAGACTCACAGCTCAGGGTTGCTTAACTAGAGGCAGGAGGAAGAAAAGAAAGGTTTGGAACTTCAACTAAAATAGCTTAGAAAACTCATGTCTTGCCTGTGCGTTTTCTTCTTGAGCCTTCATTTGTCTGAGTTACATCATGATGCTGCATGCATTTAGTGGAAAAATGTGACCTATATTTTTTGGATTTGAGGCCAGACTTTAAAACAAACACTGCTGTTGGGGCGAGGCTTCTTATTTAATTTGTGTATTTTTTTTGAATATTGTTGGTGAATTGTGCCTGAAAAATATCTCTAGTGAACCAGGCATCTGTGCACATAAAACAAGATATTTGTATATGCAAGTTCCAGATTTGCATAAGCAGTTACCTGAACATGTTCATAGTTTGCAGACAACAAATAAGCTTTAGTTTTTTGAATATGAGTCTGCTAGAACAGTAAGAAACAAAATCATCCTGCAGACATACCTACTATTTTAAATCAATTCTTCAGTTGGTGTAATAGTTAATATTTAATAAGATTCTACAATTTAAAAAGGAAGTAGTGCTATAATACACACAGAAACAACACACATATCTTCTCAACTCAAATGTATGTAAAAGCTTCCTTGTAAATAATTTGACTTTGTTGTAGGCAGTAGTGGAGGAGGCTTTACGCGTGTCAGGAGAAGAGGTCGGACTCCCCACTCAGTAGGAATGCACAGCTCCTTTTATTGCTAAGTCATTTGTGACACAGCATAGAAGAGATTGTGCTCCTTTCATTTTGAAGAGGGCTGCAAAGTCGTTTGGTTTGACTTCTCGGCGAGGGTTTCTGAATTGCAGTGGCTGTCGTGATCAGTCTGGTATCTCTTCTTCTCTTTAGACATTTCACTGAGGTGCAGGTTGGTCTGATGAGATACACCACAGGCTGTGAAGGAAGAAAGAAGTGCATTCTCCATTCTGAGGCAGTTCTGGCGGGTTTGGGCTGTACATTTATTTTTCTATAGTCTCACTCAGTGGGTGTATCCTACTTTATACTGGTTCAATTAGATCAGTTACATCTGCAGCCTGTACAAAAATAGATTGCCAGGCTGTTACCTGCACAAACTCACATACAAGGTCTGCAGTTAGACCTATCAAAACATATATGCTGTGTACTGAAGGGATTTAAAATTACCTTGGCCTTCTTGTATTTAGACTAGAATCAAAATAAAAATTGCTAGATTAGAGTGTTTCTGGTTTCAGTAATCGATATTTGGGAACATTCATGCTTTCAGATCCATGACTCACTCACTCTCTTCAGCTAAAGGAATTACAGAAATACTAAGATGTATTTTCTAAGATGTCCCAATTCAAAAGAAATCTGTGGGAAGACAGTAATGGGAACAAAATTAGATACTGCTGTCTTATAGAGACCTAGAAAAAACATGCTGAAGTCCAAAACCAACTCCAGCAACAGTTTTTGATTCATTTACTTCATGTTTATAACGGTTCTAAGACAGTCTGAATTCTAGTGAGTGCCTGCATTCTCTGTGAAACATGCTGGAAGGTAAGGGGCCATTTCTGAGGATGGAGGCCATCTGAGACAAAAGTCAGAATTTCACACCAGGACAATTTTTAGTCATTTTTCAGGACATAGGAATACCTTTTTTAAAAAAACCTTTAAAATTGATTAACTTAAGAAATAACAGAAACATTTTCTTTTGTCTTCAGAGAATGTTGAATCAAGAGCAGTCTCTGAGCCAGAATTAGACACGTTCTCAAAGTGGGGTTTTTTAATGCAAAAGGACAGCCACTGCAACTAGGCATGCTTGGGGAAAAAGCTTCAAAAAGTAATACAAAGCAGGATTTGAAGTCATTTTTGGAAAAAAGCAAAATACTCAAGCAAAAGGCTCCTAAAGCAAATATGCGAAGTACAGACTTTTTGGCTCACTGGGATGTGTGGAGATGTCATGATAGGTGACAATAACACAGTGTGTATTATCTTCACTCTGCACAAAGGCCTGCAGACTCTGGGTTCTTGCACATCCCATTGTACATTTGGTCATGGTTATTGTGATGGCCAGGTCTTTGCCTAGCAGCATATGTGCCAGATTTGCATTTACAACTATGATAATTACTTGTGCACAGGACTTGCACCATTGTCCTTTTTTTGCTGCTGAATTTCTTGCTGTGCCTATCCAGATGATACTTCTCATCAAGTTGTCATGGCTTGTACAGAGAGCCAAGGTACTTAAGAATCTGGCGCTCCCTCCACTGCGTTCATTATGTATTTTTAAAATCTCTTTTGAACTTAGCATTTTCATTCTCCAGCTCTGAATAAATGCTTATTTTCAAAACTTTTTATAAAAAGAAATAATACTGCACTGTCAGGAGAAGGGCAAGATGACCTAACCCATCATTTTCTTCTCCAACTTCTATGATTCTATGATTCATAAAGCAATTTATGTTTTTATGAGCTAAGTCCATGGGGAAAATCATTAGCAGTAACCAGATCAAGAGTAGTGCTCCTGATGAAAATACTTTTGGTTAGGAAACTTGGTAGAAATAGTATGACTCTTAAATTAAATATTTCCCTTAGGCCATTTGACCTGCTGTGTACGTCTGCTGAAAAATTAGGTTTTTCTTCTTTTGACTGCTTCTTTCTGTTTTTCTCATTGAATTGTTTTAACCTACATAGCTCAGAAAATTTCACTAATGGACCAGGTGCCTGAAAATGGCACAAAATGAAAAGGCTACGTGGGTTTAGCCCCAGTGGGCCTGAGATGTCCAAGGTTAAGCTGGGCATTAAATGTGATTATCCCATATTGGATATGTGGTTTTCCCAAATACCTTTTGGCATCCTTATATCAAAAGGCAGGATGCAGAGAAGTGGAGAGAGAGAGAGAGTAATATTACTGAGCAGGGTATGAGGGAGAGCTTAAAAAGCTGTTGGCCCAAGAAGCACCTTTTTAGGAATGGAAATTTCCTTTTGCCTTCTGGCAAAGCTAGCTAGACAGGGGAGTGGGGAGATGGGGAGCACAGGTACACCTTTGGTCAACCACAGCTAAGGACACCATCAGACGCTGGTGTGAAGTGATCCCATCTCACGTGCAAGGTTCAAGGAAAGCCCATGGCCTGTAGCTGTTCTGAAGGAAATCTTCAAACTCCCCTTTGCCTGGTCTGAGGTCTTTTTTAGGGGATTCCCAAGGTCTGGTAGTGTTAAGTGCCATTGCTCTGCTTGTCCTTTCTCCTGCCCTGTCCAACCTTTGCCCCCAGACTTCAATTCCCAGAGCAGCTTCTGGGAGGAGAGTTGGCAGAGCCGGCAAGGGGCTGGCATCCCCCGCCCCATAGCAGGAGTGAGGAAGACTCTGCACATGTCAGGCTGGGAAGGGATGATTCCTCTGAGGGTTTCACATCACCTTCAGCCTTTCATGCAAGGAAAGCCAAACCATTCTCCAAAAAAATGTTTCAATCTCAGTGAGCTGAAATAATACTGAGTGCCTTCATTTATTGCTCGCTTTCTGCTGCAAGTGCCTCCATCTGTTGGAAACTGAGACTAACATGTACCAATGAACAGTTTAGAAACCATGAAAAAATGAATCATCGTGTTATTGGAAGAGACCCACCATATCAAGTTCAGTGATGACTTATCAGATCCTTCCATTCACCTGGAGACTAACAGTGCCTAGCAGAAAATGTGTAGAGGTGGTGCTTACGAGTCGATTGTCCGTATAACAGAAATGCAGCTGGGACTCTTTCTTCCCTTGCTAGCACTAGTAGTGTGCTCAGCAGCACACCACCATCTCAGTATCACAACCTAAATTTGCTAATCACTTTTAAAAAAATCTTGGCTAAGGTACTTGCTTCTGGGAGCTTCCAATCTAAATAGATTGTGTACAGACAAAAGAAAGGGATGGACTGCAAGAAAAGCCGACGGTTGCTCACTGCCAGGTCTGTGCCTGTGTGTTTCTGTCCCTGTGTCCTATTGTGTGGGTGACACTGATGTGGGCGTACTAGTGCTTAAATTATGGGTGCGCTCTGGGGACATTTGTAGCTGTCTTATGCAATGGTTATACGCAAGCGTGTAGCAGCTGGGG